CCCCTTGTAGATGTTCAGCATAACCCCTCCCCACACATCAGCCCCATATAAAGCTGTGGGTTTGATAATAGAGTTAAATAGTTTTTTAGCCAGACTAACAGAATAACATTCCTCACTGATCCAAAGCATTTTGTACATCTTGAACAGTGCTTTCTGTGCTTTGTCTTGTAGCCTAGACATAGCATTATGAAACTTACCATTTGTTTGAAAAACAATGCCAAGGTAATTATAATAATTAACACACTGTAATTTAGTGGCGTCCAAATAAAACTGAAATTTGTTTTCTAAGTTTTTACCTAGTCTATTAAAAATAATGATTTTGCTTTTGTTAATATTTACTTTTAAATGCCAATTGTCACAGTAATTTTGGACTGCATCAATGCACTTTTGTAACCCCTCTTGGGTTGTAGAAAATATATTGTGGGAAACTGTTTTTGTTTATTTTTCCCGTCGGGCGGACAGCGTCACTCTCTATGTTTATGTTCATACTTATCTTATACTCTATTTATGTTTAATCTTAATTATTGTAATCCTGTTAATTGATTTAATTAATCCCTGACACCTGGTCAGCGCAATGTATTGTTTTGGCGGCACCTCTCATGTGCGCTATATAATGCGTGATCATTTGCAGAATAAATCAGAGTTCTTTCAACCATCAATCGAACGTCTCTATGTGATATCGTCTTTCCCGACCGATGTATTTCCCCTACCACATATATCTCAACTTGATCTGATCACTGAGGTAATGATCTTCGGTGATTCTAGTTATTACTGGGTAATATTATTTCCGAATTTTGTAAAGATCGAGTAATGCCAAAGCTTTTCATTCAATATCTGTTTATTGATATGATGTGAGATATGTATTACTTCTCTATGTGAGTTGATTATTGAACTAGAGTGCGATTTAAGTCAATATTCTAGATTGACAACATCGAAGAAAATGTCACTTGTTCACAGTTCACCGGTTATCACGCCCTCTTGCGGTGACAGCTGCTAACTGTGACGTCCTTCTTTTATGGGCCCACGAGTAAAACATACTCTGGCTCGCGAGAATGTGTATCATACGATTGGTTCTACAACTTATACAAATATTCACTTCAGCACAAGTACATATAAAATTGTGTTGACTTTCATATTAGAATATATTCCTCCATTCACCTGCGCATTGTGCGTTGTGGGGGCGGACATCCGGGCATTTTCACCGCCTGGCAACCCGCGGCGGTGAAAACAAAGAAAACGGTACTTTGGGATGATTGTTGAGACTCCTCTGAACAGTGTAACAAGATTAGCCCCTACGTTGTGTAACATATATAAATTTGGTTGTTTG